ATCGAACTTAGCCCTTCCTTACATATGTATGTCTCATCGGCAGTTATAATGCTCTCCATGAATGTAGAATCGGAATTCGCACGGTCAAGCATGTCAAGAGAGGCGATTTTACGGTACTCTTTTTGAAAAATGTTCAACTTTATAAGAACGAGTCGAGCAAGAACGCGTTTCATATCCAAAATATTTACCAAACTCATTCGAACGGACTCGCGAGAGACGTCGAGCTCTTCTCTCCAACGCTTGCCTGAAGATTTTCAAGGACCTTAACCCTTTTAATATTTTCATCAGTTTAAGAGGTCGAACTCTTCTCTCCAACACTTGCCTGAATATTTTCAAGGACCTTAACTTTTTGAATATTTTCATCAGTTTAAGAGGCCTTTTCCAACAGTCGCAACGATTCCGCACATGAAATATTTATATTTACTAAATATGAGACAAATTTGTTCGATATTTTTATCCATCGTAAAAATCGCAATGCATTATATCGTATCAATATAAGCAGTTGCTGTAACTCAACTGGTTGACAGATCGCTCTCATGTCCGGCATATTAATTAAGGACTGTTCTGCTTACTTAAAAAAATAATTTTTTTGAAATTTCATTGTTCTCCAATTCCGGTCTGTCACAATTAATCGATGTATGCAAGGTGAACTTGGTCATATAATCAATGAGAAATTGGATACCAGTCTTCAAAAAATAAAGGTTTCAAGAATTTAAAATGTATTTGCTTTACAACTATACTCCGAATGAACTAGCTTGCTTCAAATACGCCCCAATCACCAGTATTGACGTAGGAAGCTTGCTTTGTATAGAATATTTTTATTTACCAGCAGAGCTTTCTAGAAAACATATTACAAAACAAGTAAGGAAGCGCTAAGATCAGGTTCAACCGAACATTTTTTACACTTGCAACTTGCAAGAGTCAAAACCGGGGAAATACTTTAAGGTGTAATTAAGTGCTTAGTTATGACACTTTGTAGGCTTTCGGTTAATGGCGATTTGTGGGCGTGGCAGTGGTCCGATTACGCCCATCTACGAACTACTAAGGAACCTGTATACCAAGTTTCATCAATATATAAGCTCAGTTTTTACTCAAGTTACAGACGGACGGACGCACAGATAATCAGTCAACCGGATGGCAAGTGTTATGTATGTATATTATATAAATATTATTTATTATTTGTCATTTCTTTATTATATTTAATTATTATTACTATGGATACAGCTTTCTATAATTGAATCATGCAATAAAGTGGTATACTACATACATAGAGTATATCGTCACCTGAAATGCGAATTAACGTATCATCAAAAAATTTGAAATTGAATCTGTTGTTGATTACGCTTCACTACTTTAATTTACATACATAATATTACATATGTTCAACATTTCTGTTGTTCTGCGGTCAGATATAAACCAGTTTTAACCAATATTAAAATTTTGTTTCACTCATATTAAAATTTATTTCGTGCTTCATTCAGGGTACTGTAAATTTCCGAAAATGTTGTTAGGTTATTTTGCATTTCAGGGGACGATGTATACATATATATTTTTAAGTTACTACACATATATTCCAATGTTCTCTTTTTAAAATTATGTCGCATTCCTGGATGTAATTATAATATATCGATAATTTATTTCTCTATCGACATAGACATCGCTAAATTTTTGGCTTTGGCGATAGAATCATTTATATCGCCAACCATATAAAATGCAATCTCAGGTAAGTCATCCATTTCACCATTTAGAATACTTTTAAAACCTTCTACTGTCTTTTCAATTGGAACCATTATTCCAGGATGACCAGTAAATACTTCTGCTACTTGAAAAGGTTGTGAAAGAAACCGCTGAATTTTTCGAGCGCGTGCTACTATTAATTTGTCATCTTCTGAAAGTTCGTCCATACCAAGGATGGCAATGATGTCCTATAACGCGAGCATATTTTATTTCGATTTTGAGTGCGATAATTTTAAACTACCTGAAGTGACTTGTAGGATTGAAGAGTCTTTTGTACTCCTCTAGCTACATTATAGTGTTCTTCGCCTACAATGGCTGGGTCCATTATGCGCGATGTCGAATCTAAAGGATCCACGGCTGGATATATGCCCAATTCGGCAGTAGCACGTGACAATACGGTGGTGGCATCTAAATGCGCAAAAGTGGCGGCAGGTGCTGGGTCAGTAAGATCATCGGCTGGTACATAAACTGCTTGTACTGAAGTTATGGAACCATTCGTAGTGCTCGTAATACGCTCTTGCATTGAACCTAATCGAATAGAAAAATCATTAACATCGAAAAACATAAGTTGTATTTACGTCTTACCCACCCATGTCTGTACCTAGAGTGGGCTGGTAGCCAACTGCAGACGGTATGCGTCCCAACAATGCTGAAACTTCAGCCCCCGCTTGAGTAAAACGAAATATATTGTCAATAAATAATAGAACATCCTGACCATCAATATCACGGAAGTACTCGGCTATTGTTAGACCAGTTAGTACAACGCGTGAGCGTGCGCCAGGGGGCTCATTCATTTGACCATATACCAAAGCTACTTTGGAACTATCATCTTCTATTGAAATTACTTTAGATTCAATCATTTCCATATATAGATCATTTCCTTCTCGAGTTCGTTCACCAGCTCCGACAAAAACGGAATAACCTCCATGTTTTTTAGCAACATTGTTGATTAGTTCCATTATAAGAACCGTTTTACCAACGCCGGCGCCCCCAAAGAGGCCAATTTTCCCTCCTTTTACATATGGTGCCAAGAGATCAATTACCTATATATTGGACAGTTGATTAGTAAATAATTTGTTTAACATAATTAAGTACCTTAATTCCAGTTTCGAGTAATGTGGGGTTCACATTCAATTCAATCATTTCCGGTGGTTCTGCATGTATGAAGGAATGATAATCCGATTTGATGGGACCACGTTCATCAATGGGATCTCCAACAACATTCAAAATCCGACCTAGACATGACTTTCCTACTGGCACTCTGATTGGATATCCGGTATCTATAACTTTTTGTCCCCTACGTAGACCCTCTGTGCTGTCCATTGCTACGGAACGCACTATACCATTACCGAGATGATGAAAAACCTAAGAAAAAATGTAAAGTACTTTTGTTGTACTAASGAATACTTTTAATACTTCCAGAACTAATTTCCCATTAGGATATTCTGGGACAACCATTGCATTCATAACATCTGGTACATTTTCTTCAAAAATTACATCCACTACGGGACCTATTATAGCAAAAATTTTTCCAATAGCCGCTTCCTTCGAATGTATTTTATTTTTATTATGTGCATCACTGGTTTTTTTATTGAGATTTTCCGATTCATCCTGAATAGCTTGATTATTTACTTCTTCTGCGTCATCACATGCCGTTTCTTTACCTGGTGGCTCTTAAAAAGAGAAAATTTTGCATATACATACAGATCTAATATATTATACGAATTTTACTTACTGGTTGTACACAATTTCCTTTTTACGACGCCGTTGGTGGAAGTAAGCCTTAAGGGGTAACGAAAGTTTCTTGCTTGTGTTATTCGTAAATCCGAAAACTTGAAAGCTGTTACCTTTTCATTAAACATCTTAGAAACAAGAGATCACACTATCACAACTTACTATGCGATAAGTGCTGAAAGTACGGCAAAATACGATCCATATTCGAGTACCTTTTTTTAATAAATAGATGAATTCTCAATATGTACATGCGTACAATACGTATACATATGTATGTGTATGTATGTTTTGTCAAACATTGCTCCGTTAAAAAATACACAGTTACTCATATCAAAGTAAACTATATACTTTAAAATTATAAAATTTGTGATTAAAGTTATAATTCTAGAGTTTTTTCTCACGTAAAATAATTATTATTGCATAGCCATCTATACATATATAGTACATGTAGCTACATATATAAGTATGTATATTCATAATACCTAATATTATAAATCTGAATGTAAGTTTGTTTATTACGCTTTCATGCCGAATTATATTTCAAATCATTAGCAAGTATTCAATTCATGTAAGAACCATTTGAATATCTTATTGTAGCTATTTATATAACGGGTAATCCAGTAGAGGTACCTTTTTGCTTGGCATTTCATTGTGGAAAGACTTACACTTGAACAACGTTTACAAGTCGTTCAACTTTACTACGAAAATTCTCATTCACTTATGGTCGAGATAATCGGCATACTGAAAGTATTATTCACAATACCATCACCCGAAATTCATTATTTATTATCCAATAACCGAATCCATGCAACCGAATAGATCACTCGAAATCGATTCACCTAAAAGAGGGCGGTGCCACGCACATTGTTAAATTCTGATCCCGGCTCTTATAACGCTGTCTGATACCGTCACGTTGGCAAAATTTAATGTACCTGGAGTATTTAGTTATTGTTTTATCATGCTTTAAAGCTTATAGATCTTCCTACACTCGCTAGTCGTAGGGAAATGCTCGGTATAATATTTCTTGTAAAATTGGTGTGTAATGGGTCAGTCTGTAGCCCATCTCTCTTGTCTGATATTAATTTTAACATTHYCGCTCGCTCTAMMASBCAGTTTAGACMTTTACTTTTAMAATTTTCTAGAACAAATTTCGAGTTAAACGAACCATTCCGCCGTATTCAATTCTCATTCCAGCACATTTGATCTAACAGATTCACTCTTTACCATTAAAAAAATTATCTTATCTACTCTTAACAAGTAACATTTAAAAATTATAAACTTTAATCTAATTCTTAGTTTTGGCTGTTGAAATTTTTGTTTCTGTAGCTRAGCAGCTTAAGATCGCAACGCTTAAAACTCCCTTGCCTATTATGACTCGGCTAATTCCGCTCGTTCGCGGACTGCGGCCCTCGCATCGGTTGGGCGGGAAGAGGGTAATCGTTAGGTATTATTATTATTATTATTAACTACTAGGTTATGGTTTTTAAATTTCTTTTAATGCCATTTTGCGGGCGTTACAGTGATCCAAATACGCCCACATATATTTCAAGTTTCATTACGATATCTCAATTTTTATTCAAGTTACTGCTTGAACGAAGGGACGGACAGACAGGCAGTCACATGGATTTGAATCGTCTCGTCATCCTGATCACGTATATACTATAGGTATAGTACGCGATTAGCTTAAGATGATACATACAACCGTTAGCTGAACAAAGTATGTACATATATACAGATAGCTCGTCACTCTGATCATTTATTTACATATATGTACATATCATCACCTGAAATGCAAAATAACGCAACAACATTTTAGGAAATTTACAGCAGCACGAATGAAAGTCGAAATAAAATGGAACTTGAGTGAAAAAAAATTGTAATATTTATTAAAACTGATTTATATAGTATATAGCTCAAAATGAGGAAAGAGTGCAATCGCTATGTGAACAAATTGCTTTTACATCACATACTCGCCATTATTACAAATATGTGATGAGAATATTTTGACTTATAAGTCGGTAAGATAGTGTCATAATTTATAAATACGGTCTACGTATACCTTTCTCAGCCCACACAAAAAGAAATTATAGCTTCTTCCGTCCAATTATGTACGGCTTGTGTTAAAAATCTTAACCAAACATAGAATATAAAAAAAATTTAGGCATTATATCTTATAAATGTAGGATATATTAAAAAAAATTAGATAAGATGTATACTTACATTCTTATAGACTGTTTTTTGCAAGTTTTATAGGATAAGCCAATAGGTCAATTATCGTATGTACACTTTTCAGTTTGAAATTGAAGATTGCTAATATTAATAATTAGGATTAAATAATTTTAAAGATATTTATTGATACAAAAATCTTTAAGAAAAAATGCACTCTCAATGAACATAAATTCGAAGGCGCAATACCCATTTTAAAACTAATAATTTCATTAGAGAATCGGAATAAATTTGGTTTTTATCACCACCACTTACTAAACGTTTCCTGCCAGTGGCTGAATAATGATAGGCAACAAATGCTGCTGGACCGGTAGGATAAGGTGCACAGTAACGAATTAGATCATCTGTTAAATATAAATCTGACTCCAAACAGACAATGAATCCATCAATAATCCCAATGTCATCCCAAGTGTTTTCGACAGTCATGCACATGAACGTATTATAGTTGGTTACCTTTAACCGAGCGCAATTATTAATTACACTTTCACCGATCGTCACAAAGAAATAGTTTCTATGGTCCTCTGGAAATTGAAAGACTGAATATATTTCCTTGGAATTAACCATTTCATCCCTATATTTAATTATCGCGTCTCCTGGATAATTGCTGATACATATCCGCTTAAGCTCTTGGTTTTGAACAATACTGCAACGAGAACTCAACCGAAGACATTGTGTAATGATAGTTAATTTCCAGATCAAGATAAATGAAATGAAAATAATTTTGAGCACAAACATCACGAAAATTATGTATTGTATGATATTATCATATTTTTCACAGTTAAAGAAAAAGTCAGTTTTGTTCTTACTTAGATTATTTTGTAGACAGATCTTTAAAGTTTTTCGACCAGTTTGTTGCAGATGCTGCGTTTAAAACACAATATTGAAGTTTAAATCTTGTATACATACTTTAGAATTACAGAATATAAGAAAAGGTGGCGTGTCAGCCTCAGTTTACCTGTACTGTGGGCTTACTTTACTGTAAGCGCAGTAAAATATGTGTCGATAGAGACATCTTACCTTTGCATATGTAAAAATTGGAGCATCGCAATACATTAGTATTGCAACCAAAGAACATTGCACGCTAATACTACATGATCTATTACCTTGCATGCATAAGACAATTCTAAATAAAACTAATTATTATCAAAAAACAATGGTCTTGGCAGAAATCATGAGTTATAGAAGGTTGTGTCGACATGGAGCGGGCTTCCTCTTACGAAAACTACTGTGCCCGTAATGTCATAATCAGATGCTTTTAGTTTTTCTTAAGAATTCTGTGTTTACATTTTGATGATTTTGTGTTATTTATTGTGATAAATAGCGATACAATTTAAATATGCAACTAAATCAAAATAACGAAGCACAGAAAAAGAATTCTACTGACTAAGGGTTATGATCCTGAGGGTGCCCATGGCCGGAGGCCGAAGGCCGCAGGGCCTCGATCGAACAACGTCACCTTTTCTTGATTTGTCGGTATTTTGACTGTCGGGATTCTAAATTTCGAATTTTGATTGTCGGCATTCGTTATACACCCTTATTTATTATCTATCCGTATTGAGTTATGACTCAAAAAACGGTTTTCATTGGTAGAAATTAAGAAAAAATATATTTGAATATTATACACAGGCAACAAGGTTATTTATAATAAACCAATTTGATATATTAGTTTGTCAAAAAAGTCTTGCGGTATTTTTTTATTTTTTATTTTATAACGGTGTGATGACTCATGACCGATGGTACGGCTGCTATTATGCCGGTCTCTTTCGACCAATTCAGCGATTTTCCAAAAATACATGCTTCTTAGTACAGGTTCACATGCAACGACAACTGTTTTTACCACAGATTCACAAAATTTTGCTAACTCAATTTATTTTTATTTTTTCTCTTTACTCCTTGTTATTTTATCATTTCTTAAAGTCGTACCTTTTATAAATTATAAATAAAATCAGCAACAATTTTTATTTATATATCGATATATTTATGAACACTTGCATTTTAAAAGTGTATTTGTTAGTCAAATATTAGTAAAACAATTTTTGTTTTACCTATTATATACAATATTGTTGATACTATGAAATAAACAGGCATTCTACACATAACAGCATTTGTGTTACTTACAACCATTGGTTCTTTAACTACGCTATATTGTAAAGCTACGAATTCTGACGGATTCATTTGTTTTCCAGTACATAATTTCAGTAGGTCATCTACCATTTGCATATTTTGATTTATACAAAACATTAAATTTCCAGCAATTGTAATTTGTTCAGTTATTTCATTTTTATTTGTACAGTTAAATTGTTCTGGTGTGATAAACTTAGCTTTAACGCACATCATCAGCGGGCTGAAATAATGCGAAATTAAATAACCGTTGTCACTGTTACCGATTAGTTGAAATATCGCGTATAATGCTCCTATTTCCATTACTTCATCCTGGTACTTAGCGTATATTTCTCCAGGATAGGCGCCAATGCAAATACGTTTCAATTCCAATGTTTTCAGTAAATTGCAGCGACTTGATACGTATATTTGCCCGTAAGCACTTATTTTAGCTATTGCACCAAGATGAGCAATTACAAAAAAAAATTTTAAGCAATCCATAATTATACATGTAATATTTATTATTTATTTTTTTTTATTTGAAATCCCAAAAAGCGAAAGTGTCTTGTGTAAGAAAAATACAATTTGTGTTTAAAGTATTTTAAAAAAGCATGATTTAATCTTTCTAATATATAAAATTTCCATGTCAAAATGTTAGTTACCTTACTACTCCGCAACGGCTTTACCGATTTTTACCAAATTTTATATGCATATTCAGTGGGTCTGAGAATCGGCTACTATCTATTTTCCATACGCCTAAGCGATAATTTTTTTTTTTTTTATAACAAGACACACTGAGTGCGTTTATCTTCGACTGTTGTTGGCTAATGTTACTGACCCATTATCATTTCAAGATACAAGTATACGTAAAGTGAATAGGCAACAGCATACAATGAACTAATGAATTAAGAACAAAGAACCATTTATGACCGCATTTTGCTCGCAGTTTCAGCAGGAAAAGGTAGGTTTTTCTTTTTGGATGCACCGGGTGAAACTGGCAAAACATTCCTTATTTCACTAATTTTTGCTGAAATACCATGCATCATCGGGCATTGCGGCAACATTATTGGATGGAGGCAGAAAGCTCATTCAGTATTTAATCTGCCTCTAAATATTCAAAATAACCCTGACGCAGTGTGTAACATTAAAAAGCAATAGCACATGGCCACCGTGCTGAAACAGTGTAAAATTATCATCTGGGATGAATATACTATGGCACACGAACACTAAATTGAGACGTTGAACAGGACGTTGAAAGATATTAGAAACAACGACAAACCATTTGGGGGCACTCTGTTGGTGCTTTCAGGTGATTTCAGACAAACACTTCTCGTCATTCCACGTTCAACATACGCTGATGAGATCAACGCTTACTTAAAATCATCTCCAATGTGGCGTAATGTTGAAAAAGTACAGCTGAAAGTAAACATGCGCGTTGAAATGCTTCAAAATTCATCCGCTAAAACATTGTCAAAACAACTCTTGAAATCGCCGATGGAAAAGTTGCTACAGATGAAACTAGATACGTAAAATTATCGACTCATTTCTGCACAATCGTTGATACGCAAGACACTCTCATTGGACAAATATTTCCCGATGTACACACACAGTTCATAAATCATGAGTGTCTTGCAGAAAGAGCTATTTTAGCAGCAAAAAATCCAGACGTTGACAATTTAAATTTGAAGATACAACAGTTATTGCCAGAGAACTTGGTATCATACAAATCTAGTAAAACAGTTTGCGATGACAGCAAAGCTGTCAATTTTCCCACAGAATTTTTGAACTCACTGGATTTGTCAGGCATGCCACTGTATAATTTAATATTGAAGGTTGGATCTCCTATTATCTTGCTTCGTAATTTAAGCCCGGCCCGGCTGTGCAATGGTACGCGATTAAAATCTACAAGTATACACTTTTGCATGCGTTTGAACCAATTGTCAAAGCAGTTTTGCCAAGCGGATTGAGGTATCTCCAAAGAGCATAGTCGATATGTGAGAGCAAGCATTGTCCTGGTGAAGAGTGACCCGCGTATATGCCGATGCCAATGCGCAAACCATGAATCTCGAGCAGAACCTTTCTCTCGAAAACTCGTAACGTCGACCCAAAGATGTTGTTATCGTCTATACCTTCGCTCCGAGTGGAAGGACAGGAATATTGAGTGACTTATAGAGTTTAATCTTTGGTCATCGAGAGAGGATTTTATTTCTCAATTGCCTACTCAGTCCGAAGTAACAACTGTTGGCAAGAGTTGGTCTGCGTTTCATTTCGAAGCTGACTTGGTTGTTGTTGTTGTTAATACTGGTTACAAGATACACGAACTTATCTACGACTTTGAAGTTATGACTGTCAGTAGTGACGTGGGAGCCAAATCGCGACTGTGACAACTGTTTGTTTGATGTCAGAAGTAGCTGTATACTCTTACAAAATATTGCACCTGATTAAATATTAAGCTCTGTAGTTCGAATTATTGTCTCTAGCAGTAAACCTCGTTTGGTCTCGAACGGCTCGGAGAGGTCCTTCCCGATCCTGATGGAGCTTTTGGTACTGCTCAACGTCAGTTTACACAGTCGTTTTAGTTTTGCGAGGATACCAAATTCAGACATCGCGATATAAAGGTATCTCCTTTCCGTCTGTAGGAAGCAGCTTTGAAATCGACGAAGAGGTGGTGTGTGTCGATTCTCTTTTCTCGGGTCTTTTTCAAAATTTTTTCGCATGGGGAATATCTGGTTGATTTTAGAGGAATAAAGCCATACTGATAAGGTCCAATTAGTTTGTTAACGGTGGGATTTAATTTTTCACGCAATACGCTCAATACAACCTCACATGCGATTTTGAGGAAGCTTATCCTACGGTAGTTGGCGATTGTGGGGTCTCCCTTTTTGCGGTTTGGGGAGATAACACTTAAATTAATTTGGTACCGATTTGGACAGGAGCATGGTAAGGAAATGAAAGCAAAACTAAAAAATTCATGTGTAGACCGGTAGACCGGTAGATCGGTAATATAAAAAATTTCTACTGGCACTCGGTAGAAGGAAATGTATGATGATGATTGGAATAATCACAGGTCACCCTGCACAATAAATCCGTGATTTTTCCTGTTTTGATAAGGTTAAGCCTTAATTATATGGGGCCACCTTTGTCAATAAGGCTTCTCTCGTATTTGCCTCCCTACGGAACTCCATTTAGTATCACAAAGAAGAAAATATTGTCTATGGATGGCTCATTAATCTACCAGACTATTAAATCTTTTATATTGTATAAAACTATCAACACTGTACTTTACTATATTACTATCAAATATGTTCCTCTATAAATAGAATACCTATTTACACTACTTTTATATCATTTTACAATGGCATATTCGGATCATCTTTTCGCATTTTCTAATTCCCATTTTGCTAACTACTCAAATTTTAATATTGGTGGTAAATACAAAATTTTTAAACATAAGTTTATTTTACGTGTTAGTAATCTAGCTCATGGAATTTCATTTACATTTTAAAAAAGACACATTTGTGACTCTTACGTTGCACTCGGGGCACTGAAATAATTCATGATAATGGAGCGACCGTTCGTTTAAAAATAAGTTTGGTGGACATGCTTTTTACTTCCTTAAAAAATCAGTTTTATTTCAAATACCAACCAATTCGTTTGCCACATGTTTCGCTTCTCACACTGTACTTTTTATAAACCAGAGTCAATATATTACTTTTCTTTGATTTGTAAAAACTCCAAAAATTTGGTTTTTTTAGTTTATTTTTTTTTTTTTTTTTTTTTTTTTTT